AAGTATAATTTGGCAAATTTTTTCATGATTTTTATTTTACATAATAAACCAAAATAGTAGTTCTTAGAATTCTTCCTAAGGACCATTTATACCTATTCAACTGATAGAAATATAAGCCATATTACAGCTTCTGCTGTTATAACGTTGAATTCAGTGAACTCCTTAATGCTTCACTTCTACACTGAAAGCTCTAAAATTCAGTAAAACCATGCCTCCTGCCTAAAATGCTAAAATTCATTTAAATATTGCACAAAGCTTTGAAACCAACAAGTGGCCCCTGATGAATTCTGACGTGTTTTATAATCCCCTTAGTAAGACCCTGTCTAATCAGTGTCATCAACCTAATAATGTTTGATCCTTTCCAAAATACATTCACATGCATTATTCATTTGATGCCCCTAACAAATCTGTAAGGTTGGTGAATATATTTTGGTTCTCCAGACATGCTGAAAAATGATCAAAGGGGAACATTACCTTACTATGGGGCTCACATCAGAACAAAGCCCATTCCAGGAAGCAGAAGAACTGTCTCTCAAGGATATTTGCAAGAAAGATACACCCATTTAAAAATTCTATTTCAATCCTATAGATTATCCATTCATCAAGTCCTGCAGTTTGTAAGTCTCACAAGTCTTTTTAATGTGACATCAGGGGACATCTTGTTTCCTGATTCACAGTTTGTGAGTCACTGTAAATGATCCCCTAAAGAGAGTGAGCAAGTGATAAAGGGTACATCCTGGACAACAAAACAACCATTCATTTGCTACTCACACCACCCTTTGTCATAATTGCTTTTAGTAGTTTCAAATATATGCCAATTAACTAACTCCTCATAGATAAGGGCATGGTTATGCATGGTTATACTTGCCTAAAGGAAGTTACTATTTTGAAATATTCATGATTTAACTTGTTTTCTAAAAGAATTGTGAGTCAAGTAAACCAACATTTAGATGAGTTCTCATAAATTCCCACTTAGTTTAAGCCACTTCTTCTAATAAATTCAAATATTGTTCTAAAATGATCTACTTTTCATGTAGCTGATTCTGTGTGTCAATTTGGCAAAACCAAAAACTCATTATTTGGTCAAATATTAATTTATATGTTGCTGTGAATGTACTTTTTTAAATGTGATTTATACATTTACAATCAGTTGATTATAAGAGGAGCAGATTACCTTCCATGATGTGGATAGGCCTTATGCAGTCGTTGAAGACCTTAAAAGTAAAGACCAAAATTTCCCAAAGAAAGAATTCTGCCTCCAGACTGCAACACAGAAATTCTCCCTGAGCTTTCAGCCTTTAGACTCAGAACTGCAACATCAGCTTACCTGCACCTCTAGCCTGACAGCTTACACTACAGATTTCAGACCATCCCTGCATTGGCAAAATTCACCCCCATTTTTAATAAATTTCACATCCCCTACTAAAATCATGTCCCTGTCCAAAGCAATCATGTATTATCATTCAATGTATTTTCCCTTAAGCCTTTTAAAACATCATTTTTGGTAGCAGTAAAACCACCAAAAAATAAAAAATGTAGAGTCCTGGATCTTATTTGTTATAAACATTTTTTGGTAGGAAACACTTGAAAGATAATTTCTTTTAGGAATATATCCATAAATATTCTGTGAATTAAAGAAGATTTACAAATGAATAATAGAATAATGTATTAGTCAGGGTTCTCCAGAGAAACAGAACCATATTTATGGCCTCATTTAAATTTAATCACCTCCCTAAATGCCTTGTTTTCAAATACAGCCACATTGAGAATTAGGGCTTCAACATATGAATTTTGGGAGGGCACAGTTCAGTCCATAACACATTTTAAGGAGCTAGAAAAAAGAACAAATTAAACCCAAAGTTAGCAGAAGGAGAAATAATAAAGAATAGAGCAAATATAAATGAAACAGAGAATAGAAAAATAATAGAATCAATGAAACTAAATGTTTGTTCTTAGAGAAAAAATCAACAAAGTTGACAAACTTAGCTAGACTGAGAAAGAAAAATAAAGAAGATTCAAATAACTAAAATCAAAATGAAAATGGAATATTACAGCCAACTTTGGAAAAATAAAAAGAATTAAAAAATGTATGAAAAATAGTATGAATAATTTTCCACCAATAAATTAGATAACTTAGATGAAGTAAGATTCCTAGAAGTGCATAATTTATTCCTAGAAGTATATAAATTACCAAAATGAATCAACAAGGAATAGAAAAATCTGAACAGACCTATAATAAGTAAAGAGATTAAATCAGTGATTAAAAAAACAAAGGAATTTTAAAAATAAAAACATCCCAATACAGAAAAGTTCAGAACCAGATGGCTTCACTGGTGAATTCCACCAAACATTTAAAAAAGAATTAATACCAATACTTCTCAAACTCTTTCAAAAAAGATTAGGACAGAACACCTCCTAACTGATTCTAGGAGGCCAGGTTTACCATTTATCAAAGACACCTCAAGAAAAGAAATGTCCCTTATGAATATACATGTAAAAGTCCTAAGAAAAATAGTATCAAACTAAATCCAGAAGCATATTAAAAGGGTTATACATCATAACCAAGTGGGATTTATTCCAGGTATGCACAGGTAGTTCAATACACTAAAATCAGTGTTCAACTGATGCAGAAAAAGCGTTGGAAAAATCCAACACTTTCTCATGATAAAATAAAAACCACTCAATAAACTAGTAATAGAAGGAAACTTACTCAATCTGATAAAAAGGCATATATGAAAAACCCACAGCTATCACCATATTTAATAGTGAAAGACTAAAGTTTTCACCCAAAAACCAGGAGCAAAACAAGGATGCCTAGTTTTACCACTTCTTCATGATAAGTTCTAGCTAGATAAATTAGGCAAGAGAAGAAATAAAAGAAGTAAACAAGAACTGAAAAAAAAGTAAAACCATCTGTATTTTCAGATGACATGATCCTATATATAAAAAAAACTACAAATAATCCACAAGAATACTACAGCCAACTATATTAGCAAAGTGGTAGGGCAAAGGTCAACACACAAAAATCAATTGTATTTTCATACACCAGCAATGAACAATCCAAAAATGAAATTAAGAAAAATATCCATTTATAATAGCATCCAGAACTATAAAATACCTAGGAATAAGTTTAATGAAGTATATAATACACTGAAAACAACAAAACATTGTTGAAAGGAATTAAAGATGTAAACAAATGGAAAGCTATGCCTTATTCTGGATTGGAGTACTTGATATTCCTAGGATGACTACCTAGAGTGATCTACAGATTCAGTGCACTCCTTATCAAAATTCCAATGGCCTTTTTTTTTTTTTTTTTTT